TAAGGAGAAGAAATTGAAGGCGGTGTCACTCAGAGGGTTAGTCTTTTCTTTCAAGCACATTAAGAGTGTTAAAAAGTTTATATACTTCGAATTTTTGAAGTAAGTTTTGCAATTAATAATGTACTGGATTACGTTCGCTGCTCACCGTTTCAGCTCTCAGGGAGCAAACCTTATCTCATTGTTAGGAATAACAGTACAGTAGTGGATATGTGAATTTTATTTCTGCTGTAATGGTCAGCACATTACTAGGTTTTTGCTTTAGGCGAGGCGACGAAGATGGTAATCTAAGCGACAATAAAAAGGCGAAACGAGTGAAAAGTAGTTCGACGGCTAGCGGGTTACTGTGTAATTTTGAAGAAAGTATATTGAATGGTCGTTTGAAACCGTTTGCTTCTGTTAAGGGATTTCAATTGCAAATTAGTAAATATTTGTTATTAAAACACACCTGTTACGGAAGAGATTCTTTTTGTGTTTTTTTTTAACATGATAAGTTTTTTTAGCTGCTACTGGGTCATTTTGTGCGCCTCACGTAACCCTTGCAGTTGAAACATTCTTCTTCAGCTTTTCCGATGACAATGCTCCGTCGCTGAACTTTGTTAGTATCTTTAAACAGCTTCAAAGTGTTTGCATTGGATAAGGGATCATGAATTTTTATGATTTAAGACTCAAAATTAGAAGTGTTTTTATTTCTTGATTTCATCATTTTTGACCATATTAATTTGTGTAAGTTTGTTAATGAAATACTTAATTAATTTGTTGGGAGTGTATAGATTTCAAGGTACTTAATCTCATTTTTCTCTTCTGTTTTCGTTATTTGGCCTTTCAAACTGAACTTTCTTTTTGTAAGCAAACATACGTATAGATATGTCTTTGCCAGTACTTGTTGTTTACTTGGAAAAGTGAAGCTCAAATGAAGTGTGCAGGGACTTTTTTGCAAAGTTGCATCTTTTCGATTTTTTCTCACAGACTCAATTGAAAACTGTAAGGCAGGGTACTGCAAAGTGTCTTCAAAAAGCCGTTTGCTTGCAATATAATTATTAATTATTTTTTTAGTTCATTTTCAATTTTCATGCTTTAAATTGCTCTTTACTGAAGAAAATTAGTTTCGTTTGTCTAAAAAATACAAAACTGTCAAAACGCAGTGGGAACTGAACGCTCTTCCGTCTTCGCTTGATTTTTAATAGACGGTCTTTAGTCACAGTTAATTAAAATCTATAGAGGTCGGGGGAAGAAGTACACAAGTTTTAAAGAATGGCTACAAGCGAGCTGGCATTTAATTTTCTTTTGAAATCTAATGCATTTTTGCGTCTTGTCAGAAATGCATTTTTTGAAGTCCCTTTTTAGATTCCAAATCGGCCTTTGTCAGTCTTACAAATTCGAAGAGTACTGAGATTTAAAATTGAACGTATTGTGGGAAAAATGGGTAGGAAACGGTTTTTTGGGGGAGGTAAGTCATAATTAGGACTAGGATAGGGTTATCTTACTTCTCTGTAAATAAGAGCAGTGTGTTACTTATATGTTGAGGTAGGTACAGATTATTCAGCTTTCGTTTTGGAGGAACTGGAAAGGTTAGAATCTAAATTTAGAATCTGTTTGAGCCATTTGCAAAATTTTTTTGAATTTTATCGAGAAGCAGTTTGTAGAGGATATTGTAAGTATCAGTATTTGTTTTAGGGCAAATGTTCTTTGGAAGATCTTGGCTGCAAAGGTTACCGTATACCTAAAAGAGGAGTAATACAAGCGGTATTCATATCCTTTTCGTATTTTAACAAATTTATTCTTGATGCTCTATACTGTTTTCAACTACTTCACCATCTGCATATACCAATTTTCATGATAGCAGCATCTTTAACTTCAGACCTTATTCAACCCACAAGGAACTGTTGTTTGCCTTTTTGTTGTGCGTTTTGACGTTTCTGAAATGCCACCATCTTGTCGAACTTTCTTGCGTCACAGGCAGTTTTCCACGCCTCCAGATTGTTCAAATGACCAAATTAGTCGCTCGTGGCTCAGATACCTTATACATTTCAGGCAAGCAAACTTTTACCTTTCTGGTCTTGCTTTTAGTTGCACGTAACGAAATTTTTACTAGTGTAACTTAAAAGCCTGACGAAAGATTACTTCACGAGTCACGAGGGAGTAGCATCTCTGTAGTTTTTCTTTTTCTTTCTATTTATCTTTGTTCTTGAAGTTCAGTTCTTCACTTTTATTGGTGAGCTTGTGATTCGAGGAGTTAACTGATTGAATGAATGCTGAATTTATGGGCTAATTTAAACCTCTGATTATTTCAGACTTGCGACAGATCGAAGGTGTAATTTATTCATACACAGTG